TTTTCTAATGTTTTCCCAACATCCCGCGTAGCTATTACGCTAAAAGAAAGTTCAGTCTATTGCACTTAAGACATCTGCTCTTATAGCTGCTTCTCTTTTTCTTCCTTTGTTATTTTTCTCACTGAAGTCGTTTGGGGCTGGAATGATCCTGTAGCTATGTACCCACTTAGAGGTACGGAAAAAGATGTAAGTCACTGTGCTAATGGAGACGCCCAATACTTTGACGATGGGAAGACCTTATCTTGGCCAAGAAAGTCACCGAGTTTCCCTGAGAAAAAATTGACAACAGTTATTCGGATAACGAATAATGATGGAAACTTTAAGTTAAAGGATCTGACGATGATAATCCGTTTTAAAGCATTTGACCTCGGTATGAGGACACTTGCCCAATTTGTTGCACATGACAAGCCAATTCTCCTACTTTCATTAGACTACCGCGACCTCCATTTTTCATTGTACTCAAATTGTGAAAACAAAACGCGAATTAACAAGCTGAAGGTGGCGGAGAGCATTAAAATCAAACACTGGACATTTGCAGCAGTTACCTATAATCAAACATCAGGATGGGCCACCCTTTACGCAGGCGATGATTGGATCCATAGTGCGCACTGGGGTTATGTTGACATACAGGAGCCACAATATATATATTTGGGTAATAACATTGAATTTATGAGAGATGCTTCTGATTACGATGTAAAGGAGGCACCTGAGAATTTTTCTGGAAAAATGAAGTGCTTCATTCTCTATCGCCGGGCCCTCGACTTTTCTCAAATAACTAAAGTGGAGAGTTTTTGCCGCAAGATGGTGTTGAAAGGTGACGATACGGAAGATGACGAAGGCAGTGCTTATGATCAGATAGGTATTTGCAAGTATGAAATAAGGCACTTCAGCAAATACTTCTATCATATTAATTTTGCAGATTAGGGCGCTCATGATTTTTTATTCATTTTGTGCATTCTACGCGCTGTTGGAAAACACCTTAAACCTTTCGTTGAAAGGCTACTTTCTGCACTTACATGGCTAATTTCCAGCTGGCTCGGTTTGATAGGTCGGATATTCATCCAAGATTCCTTGAAACAGACAGTAATGTGTAATAGGATTCGTGCAAGCACCATGAGATACAATTTGCCTTTCTAAGTACAGAGACGTATTTGGTTACTCGGCCGTATTTCTTATTTTGCCCCCTGAATATCTCTTTAAGAAAAAGACGAACATCAATTCTACTCATCAACGGGTATTAAGGGACTTTCTCCAATGGCTTTCAAAACTTTCAACTTGTTCGTTAGATCCATATATGTGATTTTGTAAACCCAATGATTCAACCGGTGTCTCCGCAAACGTGCAAAAACAGGAAAAAACGCTAAATTGTGTCTTATTCCCCAATACGACTTGCCCGATTTCATTGAAAATCGTAAAAAATTTTGCGTGAAAAAAAGTGTCCAAAAATATCCCAAACTAGAAGGCTAAAGAAAGTTGTAAAATTCACTGTGATTATGCTGACTCAACTGGTTCTTTGAAAGATTGAAAATACAGTAAGGCATTTATTCATGTCGAGCTTATGTCAGCGGCATAGATATGAATGTTATTTTCGACTGATGAAAACTACTGATTGTCTTGTCAAAAAAAAAAAAACCCTATCACGATGATTCCATCGCCCGCATGGCGCGTCATAATTATTCAAATCACTTGTCTGTCTCTAAATTGTCTGAGTACGTGTACAGCTCATGAAGTGTGACAAAATAACTACTTTTGCAATTTACAGGTAAATACGAGTACAGTTTAGACGCTTTCGTTTGCCCATCCAAACCTTTTGACAATGGTTCCAGTATAACATGCTCAGATGCACAGACGTTATTAACGACGAGCGTTTCTGCAGGGCCCAACTCAACGCGGACATCTACTCATTCTGAGCGCACGGAGATGGCAGAAAACAGCTTCGTCCCTAAAAAAGTTTCTTCAATATTTGTCTCAAGTACAAAGTCTGTGGATGGATCGAACCCTAGTGAAAATATTATTCAGCCAGGATTCTTAACGCCAACATCAGCACTTGCTTCGTCTGCAAGTGTTGAAACAAGAATTCTGCAATTTTTAACGATCAATTCACTTCAGAATCATCCAGCCACACAAGAACCATTTAAATTAAGAGCAACGTTATCTCTGCCACTCATGCCCTCAGCTTCAAGGGTTCTTCTTGAAGGAATAATCACCTTAAATTCAGCAACGGCGTTGAGCACAAACTCAAAGGACATTCTTCTTCAAAGTGAAACTATACCAAAACACCGATCCGAGCCAATCAAGCAGTCAACTCTTCAACAAACGTCAACAGCCACAAGGCTGTTCCTTGAGAGTAAGGTCACCTTTCAGTCAACAGAGATTTTAGCCACAAACCCTCTGAAAATTCTCTCTCGTAGCACACACCATCAGAGCAGTTCAATCCGCTTCCCTTCACAACATCCTTTGCAAAATACGACTCTCTCCATCAAACAGCTGAATATTACTGAATATTCAACAAAGCTTATCTCATACTCATGGCACTCTTCTTCCAGTATCGCTTCACAACAAAATACTGTCTCACTCTTCCATGTTATCGCTCAAACGTCATGGAACCTAATCGAACAATCAGCTAATCTAGGTTCACCCACGAAAAAAACCAGCGTTTTTGAAAGCGCAGCAATCCTCAAGCCTGTAAATTCACTAACAACCACCATCAAAACTACAACCACGACCACAACCAACGTTTTAGAAAGCGCAGCCATCCTTAAGTCTTCGACGACAAAGATAACAAATCAAGAGCCCAGGCTAACCAACAAGCTACCTCAAAGAATCAACACAGCGCAAACTTCATCCCACTCAGTCGAGCAGTCGTCTTCTCTAAATTTACCCAGGACCACAACAAGTATTTATGAAAACGCCGCCATCCTCAGGTCTTCCATGAAGATGATCACAAAACAAGAGCTCAGCATTACCAGCGCTTTACCTCACAAAAACAACAAAACACCTATGCAGATGCAGCCTATGAGAACAACGCAACGATCGTTAGCAACTAGCCTCTCGAATAACAGCAAAGGTAACGTTATTTTGCTTTCTATGTGTTCTTCCTTAGAGAAAGAAATATGTTCCCCCTAGCTATAGGTACAGCAAGAGGAAAAAAGAAAAAAATTAGATCGGGTAGTTAGAAGCAAAGGCATCTCTTAGATGGTGGCCATCCGTTTGGATGTTGCTTCTCGTTTGCTCACTTTGCTTTCAGCAATTTTTAAATTCATTTTTCACTTTTCCATTAAAAATAATCCTTAATTTTGATGACCACGCGATGTTGGAGAGGTTGAAATAATGAAATTTCAAATCAATATAAAAGACATTTGCCTGAATAACTTGGCAAAATGAGTTCATCATTATTTTACTATTTCGCTTTGTAGCATATACACGAGGTAACGACCTTGGCATGAAAAATGGTGATATATCTGATGCATAAATAAGTGCCTCTTAACAGTTGTTCAACAACACTGTTGCAGCCCAGGGTAGATATACCTTTAAACAACGTGGTAACAGGCAGGGGCTTGGTCAGCTCTTACAAATTATCTCAACCAGTGGCTCCAGATTGATCTCAGAAGACATGACATTAAGATAACATTGATAGGAACAATAGGAAGGTTTTCATCTGAGACATGAGCATATTTTCGTTTTCCTTAGAATTTGACATCATTTTTTCTTGGAATGAGTGGAGTGATTGGTCTCCTTGTAACAAGTCTTGTGGAGGCGGTTCACGCAAGAGATCAAGGGAATGTGTAGCTGAATCAGTCATCAAAAATAGCGCAGAATGCAACGGAGAGAACAAGGACGTGAACATTTGCAATACACATCCATGTAGAGGTATGATACGGTCAATGAAGACGTTGTTAAGCTATTAGTTATAGTCAGTATAACTAAAGGCAAGAAGAGGACACCGTGTTTGCAACATCGATAGCCCAAGTTTTAAAGATAGATAATTCCTTTAAGAACATTTGTTATTCCTTCATGCCATAGAGCATGATCGAGATGTCTCATGCAATTCTTTGAATACAATTTTTCACCTACATTACCGAAATGTAACGAAAGGAAGTGATTTCCATTACAAAAGAATTCATCAATCTAGGTCTCGTTCACACCCTTACATGGTCGATCTGATTGTTTCCCATCATAGCATGACTAATACGACGACCGATGAAAACTTTCTATAACAAAACCTGGTCTAAATCTTAAGCTAAATTGGAAAAATTGCTACCCAATTCCAACCAAGACTCCAAACAGCACCTTCTTGTCACATCACAACTCTCTTTCATACTGACTAACGTTCGAGTCTTTTGGAATTTTTTTTAGTCGTGCCTTTGGGTGTTGAAGCACATTTGACTGATGAGACTTGGGATGACTTACTCCTAAACAAGAGCAGTGTCTCATTTAAAACGCTGGAAGCCAAGATAGAGGACAACGTAAGCTTCCATTGTTAAAAATGATGTTAAACGTGTAACACTAAACAAGCAATAATAAGTTGCAACATAAGCATTTTTCTCCTTCTTTACATTATGTAATGTAACTTAAACACTGGTAAACTTCATCAACCTTAAAATGAAAAACTGAATGAAGCACGAGTTCGAGACGAAAGTATAACTTTATCCAAGCATAAATTGGTAAAAAGTTTGACAGTAACTTAATATATCTAGCAAGCACTAGGTAAAGGCTAATCCACTTAAATCCCAATTAAAATCCACTTTATTATCTGTCAGTATTTCAGTAAGTACAGCAATTTGGCACTTATTTCTCTGTCACTTTGTACTATCTAGATTCAAAAAATGTATCCTTGGAAAGTGGTGAACATTACTTTGAATCAATGCAGGTAAGATTTGAATGAACCTATTCTAAAGAAACATCATTTTAATGAAAAATCTAGGGTCGCAATTTTTAGATACATTGCTATCTCCTCTTTTGAATACATTGCATTTCTTTTTAATCTTTGCAGAAAGTGAAGTGTTATTGTACATTTTACCATCACATTTCGTGAATTAGACTCTGATGAGTTACTGATATTCACGGATACCGCTGACAAAGATGGCAGGATAGCAGACTTAAAAGTTACCTCTGTCTCTCTTTTGGTAGCAGGAGGTGAGTCCTTTCCCATGGTTTTGATTGACTTGGTGTTGTTTGCGCCTGAGCACTCGTATAATATAATTTCTCACCAAAATAGCATTTAATTGCAAAATATCTAGAGGGTAAATCATCAAGTGTGATTTAATATGTGCGACGGTGGTACTTCACTCCACAATTTATGGCAAACTTAGTGCTATGAAAGCTCATTATCATGTCGTAAATCGAAGTGCTTTCGGCTACCTTAATGGTTTTTTAGCGCTGTTGGTCGCATCATGTTGAAGTCCAATTTTGTTTGTTTATTTTTCTATCAAACGGAGGATATAAAACGTCGGTTTTTATGTAAAAACAGAAACAGCCGCGTATTTTAAAATGTAATTCAGTTCCTAACCAGGTTCCTGAAATAACCAAGACTTACCTGACAAGTGCCACGAGTGTTAAAGTATTCTGGACACCAGTTACTGACGGCCCAATAGATGGATATCAGGTTGCCTTTCGTTCAATCAACGAGGGGAGGTGGAGCAAAGTCGCTGTTGATCGCAACACCACCACCCTACATCAAACGAATCTACAGGAAGGAAAAGTGTACAGGATTAGAGTAATGGCATTCAACAAAAGTGGGAATGGCCTTCCGGGAGAAGCTGAAGAGATTATGATGAAAGAGGAGGGTAAGCTTTTGCTTTCATGTTCTGCAAACGTTTAGGGAGAACAAATACCTCTTTATTCGTCACTAAAAATTTAACAAACACGGTTGCGAAACGGTAAAAGGAAGAAAAACAAAATCGCAAGAGTTTCCTTCTGGTTGCTTATTTACCCGCCATCCTTTAAGCCCAATCACATATAAAAATGCCTTTCTGGCTGGTGCAAGTAACAAGCGAGCTGAACTTTGTTTGCATTGGTATTTTCTTATCAGTACCGAAGGTTGCTCCGCTTGTAAGTGTGGAGGACATGACATCCCCGCATTCGTTTGCAGTTTCATGGACACCTTTGCCAGAGGAGCATCTCATGGGCAGACTACTTGGCTACCGTATCACCTACAAAGCAGTAAAAGTGGCTGATGAAAGAGTAGATAGCGAAGAGATGGCCACCATGACTGTTGATGGTCCAGACGTTCTTCACGCAAAGATAACTGGACTAAAAAGTTACTCCTCTTACGTTGTTCAAGTAGCTGGCTTTACATCCAAGGGGAATGGCTTATCATCATTCAAGGTGACGGGAGGTAATAAAAAGTGTATGATACATCAAAAATCGGTTATTTCCAATTTTCTGGGGGGAAGCAGATTCCCGTCGTTTGTTCAAACGGCTAGCAAAATTACATCGAAAGATTCCGTTGATGAGTAAAATAATGGTACTTTTCCCAAGCAACATCCATTAAGTACTTTGAAGGTGAAACCTCGGTCAACAAATGAATGGACTATCCTTCAGCCCTATCGCAACCCAAATGTATGTCGTATACATTTTTACACGAATTCAAATAAAGTAGTGCTCCTTTTTTTCAATCTAGCAATGAAAATATAAAAAGAGAATGTTGAACAACTCACTTTTTGAAGGCTGCGTGCCTTGCACTTAGCTCTGGCTTCATTATAATTGACAGTCAGTGACTCAAATTCATTTCTTAACAACAGATACCTGTCGTTGCCCAGCAGTATTCAACACCAACTGGGCGGAACTTCCTCCGTACGTTACCAAATCAGTCCACAGTCAGTCACCGCAAGGAATTATTGGCACTTTCGTGGAAGAAATGCTGTTGGAGTCCTGTGGTGTATGTAAAGCTCATAGACACACTTTTCTGAATTTTAAGACTAACGGCAAAGGAGGCGCAGCCCATAAGACCACTTTGAATGAAGTTGTCTCGGACGTTAACAATAAGACAGCGATAAGCTTTCCTGTCACAGGGGCCATGGATGATGACAAATTTCAAAGGTATTATGTATTTGTTCCGATGGTAGAGTCACCAGGAATCGCCTTCATCACAGTTGGCCAGAAGGATGGAAGTAAAAACATAGTCATATCGACACTGTTGAAGTATTTGCCGCTACACCTGTTTTGTTTAATGATGGCTTTCGTGGCTGGTACCATCATCTGGGCCCTGGTTAGTAGAGCTGGCCTTGTGCCTTCTTTATCCATGATGTGATCTTCATCCAAGTCACACGTGATAGTCAAACTCTTTCTAGTTTCTAGAGCTCCTTCAAATGGCGATAACCTGTCCACCATTTTCCCTCAAAAAAAATGGTTAGGTTGTTTTCTATTCGCAAGGAGACACGTTGTGAATTTTGGGTCTTTCTAAGAAAGCTTGGAATTCTCTGTAACAAACTGGAAAGACATTTAACTAAATCTATTATTGGGCATGTTTTTTCCTTCTTCCCCTACAGTACCTTTGCTTATTTTGCGTTTTTCTTTGATTTGTAGTTCCCTCCAGGCCTAAAGTAGATTCCCGCGAGCCTAAACGGATTTAAATTGCGTTATATATTTGTGTCAGGTTGTTAAGAACTACTCTCTTCATAAGACTAAACAAAATAGCGATAAAAATCTCCCTAATGCCCCAAGAGTGCTTGCATTGAGTAATTCATATGCATTGCCCCTGTGGACGCAGTCTAAGTTCTTGGAGAGTCACACAAACTACTTGCCATTTAGATATGCTCCTGAGCAATAATTACCAAAACCCACGTTTCTCATGTTCCCTTTTTTGTCATTTAGGAAACAACCCGGGATGACGGTTTTGCCCACTCATTCATCAAAGGGGCTTTTGAAGGATTTTGGTTTTCCTTTACTTCCATGACAACTGTCGGGTAAACCATGAAATTATTATTTCCACGATCACCAAATAACGAATACAAAAATTATCAATTTCGTTTTAGCCGTTTTGAAAAGTGACGAAGCAGAACATGAAAAAATAAATCAGTAACTTTCACGTTACTAAGAAGACTCTGAATTCAGTAAAACTTTGAGATGATTTAGTGCATGCTCATATCATTTCGGATGCCTGCGGATATTTTGCCCAATTTAACTGTTCGGACTATTGTCACGTAATCTTTCAAGATTTCACAGGATTGGGTGATAGATTAAGTGTACGCGCAGGGCCACGTGCAATGAGAAAGTAATTCAATATCACGAAAGTTACGGAGTGTAAAAGTTGCGGAGTGACGAAGTTGCGTTCAAGTTTTCTTGCGTTCGTTGTTCCATACGGCACAAATAAAGGAACTCGAGCAAGGTCGTCAATTTACTTTCAGATCTCGACAGGAAGCCATAATGAAGAGCAAAGTCTGTTGAGTTTGTTTGTTAAATCTCATAAATGTGTGTTTATTATCATTTATTTAGTTACGGAGATAAAGTGCTTGTGGGGTTCTGGTCAAGGCTGTTCGCGGTGGCCTGGATTTTAACTGGCCTAGTTGTGGCTTCTGTACTTACAGGAGCACTAGCTGCCTCGCTGACATTCTACACGATAGAGAAAGATGTAATGTTGTACGGCTCAAAGGTATGTTAGATCTGAGCCTTTGTCATTACAATAAATAAATAAAAACAAATGAAAATCAGTGCACTCTAATCAACTACATCACAAGCCACAGAAATATCCTCTAGGTCCAGACCGTATTAAGATAGGTGTTTTGGTTTTTATGGAGGGAGGAAATCGCTAAGTGCGGCAATCAAAACTCAGTTGCAACTGAGGAAACCAAGGGCTGTCTCCATTTGGCTTCTACTGTCTTGTTACCCTGCAAAGCCTGGATTTTAAAACATTGAACTAAGCCTGCGCAACAAATATACTTTCTGTTTCACAAAACCTTAATGCTGAGAGCATGTTCCAACAATAAGGCAGGTTTTCTACAAACAGAAATGACACCTTTAGCAAGCGAAATTACATTACATACGAAGTACGATGGAACTTACCGACTGTTTCGAGTTCAGAGTGGCCATAACTCAACAATTTTGGTTAGCAAATGCAAAATATGCCAGTATAAACATGGAGACTTCTTTTTTGACAAAGCACATGGCCGGTATCCCGGATCTGGACGTCAAAATGTAAGCAAGCAATGGGAGCTACACTCGATGAGCAAATAATATAACATTTTCCTTTTTAGTTTTTTATTTTCTTCATTTGGGGATTTTTCTTTGGCTTTTTTTCACTCTCACTTATCTGCCGCAGACAACGAACAGGATGAAATTAATAACTTTGATTTGAAATTTTCTCAAGTAAAAAACAAAGGGAAACAGGCACGTCATTTTGTTATAATGCACCGTACAGGATTATTTAGAAGATGTAGCGGGGAAATTGTTTTTGACATATCTTTTTGGATTGCATTCATGTCAAGGTGACGGCTCTAACTGATTCACCGGCCCATAGACTTGGCGTCAGAAGAAATGCTCTCATCAGTGAGTAGAAAAGGTGTAAAATCTAAAGTTATGATACACGATGCGTGGAAACTGTGGAAAAAATAACGTATTTCGCCAACTAGTCATTAAAAGGCAACATTACTTCTACAAAATTTTAAATTACGTGCATGGAGATCAGATGCCTGGCCACTGATACTATCCAAAACTTTTAAAAGCCACAAAAAAAACTCAGAAATAATTTGCAATGCATTTTGGTTTAGATGCAATGGAACTTGACATTGAAAAAAAGTTGCAATTTAGTATTGACTGTTAAGTGAAAGGTACCTTAAAAGTTTGCATTTGTTACCTTCAAACATAGGACACCTCAAGATTCGTCTTCTAGAGTTCTAGGGGTCTCCATTTTATTGAGAGTTTGCCATTGCCGTTCCCTTTGTTTCACCAGGGCCACGAGACACTCTACAGGAAGCATATAAATCTCTTGGGCAGGGTGAAATCAATGGACTGTTGTTAGATGCCTATATCGCCGGAAGTCACTCCATCAAGGATCTCTTTGACCAGCAACTACGGGTCAAGGAAGTTATAAAGCTGCCAAAAGGGCTTGGAGTTGTCTTATCAGGAGAGGCCACGAGGCTGCAAAAGAGAGTTCGTGACTACATCAGAAATAAGGCTGGACTTATCACCAAAATGATCGAGAACAGTACTACTCCATTACAGGTATACTTCAAACCTTCTATTTTCTGATAGCACCTTGACATGTTTCCTTGTTGGTGGTCGGTTCATTCCGCTATTTAAGAACGAAATACACCAATAAGCTGTCAATCTTTGTTTCCTAGCAACCAGAAAAAAGTGAGGCCGAGGAACGGACTACAAAGCTGTTTTCTGTTGAATTCCTGTTATTTCATGAGGTACTTTTTGCACTGTTGCAAGCACTTGGAGCTGCTGTCCTCTGTGGCCTCATTTGGCAAGCCATCCATAAACTTCGCGCTCGAAGAAAAAATGCACTTCCAGGTAAGTCAGTCAGTCAGTCATTCAGTCAAATTATTTTGATTTAACAATTAAACTGGGTGATCACAAAGTCAGTTGACTGAGGACAGCTCATAAATCAGTCTTTGAGGCAGGCTTTTGGTCTGTCGCTCGATCGGTAAAAGAATCATTCAATTAACTAGTCAGTCAGCTATTGGTTGGTTGATCGGTAGGTCGGTCAGTAAATGATTTAATGGTTTCGTCATTCAGTAAACCATTCAGTCAAGCAGGACGTCAGTCACCCTTATTAATTATATTAACTTTCATGAGTCAAAACAGTAAGCCCACTTGTCAGTCTCTACCACTTACTGCAGTTTGTCAGCGAGTTAGTGATCAGTTCTATTTTACGATTGATATTAAACTAAAAAAGAAAGACTAGCAGTCTTATTGATTCCTATCTTGTTCACTCCTCTAGAAGGGCATGGCCGTGCAAGACTGATGGCACAAAGAAATGAGATGCTGAAGACAGTGCAAAATTTTCATGACAGTTTCCGACAACTTTACTTGGATTTAACATATAAAAGTGTTCAGGAATTTCGAAATTTTGAAGAAGAACGAAACCGACGAAAACAGAGTCGGAAAAATACTTGAACGTGATGGAAAATCGACTACATTAATACAGAACTCTTTCATACTTTGGATTAAAATTCTATACTCAAGAATTTATGTATGTTGAGTCATGACTAATAAGAACTCGAGCTGAATATTGAATGACAAGTTTATAATTCTCCCTGCTGAATTAAAATATTTATTGAAGAGACATCTTAGTGGGACTTTGTGATCGATGTTTGCCTTAGTTTAAAGCCATGATTGGTGCTTCGATTTAACTTAGAGTTCATTGTTTTTTTTCGGTTTAAGAATACTTGGTGGGTATTCACTCAAACTAAAAGTAAAAGTTGTCCTTTCAGACAAAGACAATATGTTCCTTTCCCACGGTTGACAAAAACATCGCAACGTCATCTTTTTACTTATTGGTATTGTTTGTATCTATATTTCTGAAAAGATTGTAAGCAAGACTTTTGCCTTGGATCTAGTCTATCTGAATGTTTTTCAATACGTATTTTACAGCGTAAATATTAATAAAGTTTGATGAGATCAACTTGAATATTGATTACAATAACCTATCAAGTCACCAACGTAGCGCATAACTTTACTTGGGAAATTCGCATGATTTTGTCTATCTTCATTTTCCTCAACCGTGGCAAATAATTCCAAGTTCAGTAATCGACCCTGACAACTTTTATCTTTGAAATTTTAATCCAATTGACTGTCGCACCAGAAAAATCCTAAAAACCCGTACTGTTAAATGCTGAATTCTTCTGTCCTCGAGGCTGATTTCAACGCCCGCCAAAACTGCATGCATACTGGAACATCAATTTTTAGCAATTTCTGATGCATTTTTATTTCTATATATAAAATTAATTAACATGAATACATGTTTTTATTCTGATGTCTGAACAATTTATTTTTCCAGATTTTTAAGTGGATTCCACATTTCATACTTACATTTCTCCTCGAGTTTTCGATAATTCTACAGATAAAGGGTACGTTTGCATAAAAAAGGAAAGTTTGAGTGCTACATGAAAAATTTAACCAGCCCTTGTCAATATAAAGTCGTGTTTGAAAAGTTAGTACAAACATCTGGCTAGGAACAATGGATAGTTTATTTTCATGAGTTTTTTTCATTTTACCCGAAACCGGCTTTTGAAGCCAAAAAAAAAATGATGTAAGTTACAATTGACAAGGATCCGCCCATGTATGATAAATATATCGGTGCATAAATATCTCGTCTTTTCTTATGATACCTTTGCTTGGATAAACTTGTTGGAAATATCGAAAAAAAACTGAGTTAGAGTGAAATTATAATTGGGGCCATGCAAAATCTGGTTAAGTTAGTCAGGTCTGTACGTGTCTTAGGTTCGTGCAACTATTTCACTTTATCGATGCTTTAAAAGGCAAGTAAAAATCGGCAAATGTTAAGTCCTAGATGCCTTTATCCGGATACGCTTATCCTTCAGAGATGATTTCAGCTTTCTGAGCAACAATTTGGCATTTATTTAAAAGTATCTTCTAAAGAAAAGGATTGGAAAAAAATCTTAGAAACATGAACAAATCAACAGACACTTAATACTGCAAAAATAAAAATTCCCCAACTCAAACAATTGTACTAAGTAACCAATACCACATGCAAGCTGCGTTTAAAAGCTACCAATGAGACGACTTCAAAAAAACGAAGGTTTACCAGTTTGGGGCGCATTAGTTAGAGTTTGTATTAAGCACGATGTTTGCACTTTTGTTAATCGAATTTACATAACGCGCAAGCAAACCGTTAAAGGTCTTAACAGCATGTTTAACGCATTGGCTAATAGCAGGTGGCCGAGGCCCTTCATTGGTTAACATCTAATTGTCTCGGGGGAAACCAGTTTTTCCTTTAAACATGAATAATGAATGGTTGGGGTTGTTTTTAGGCATCGGTAACGTACTGAAACAAAGTTAATTTCGAAGCTTTCACTTCACTTTCACTCAATCATTTTGGAGTATCATCGTTTTTCCTTCTTCCAGCTTTCATGGTTGCTCTGGTAGTATGGAGGAATGAGTGATTCCACCTAATTTTTGCTAGTTGAAGACTATATAAGTGAAGCCTAGGTGAAGATTTTTGACAGAGATGAACACATCATGCCTTTGATAATCTCCAAATTGGTCACTATGGTAAGTAGAGACGGATGCTACCTTTTTTCTTTATTACTAACAATTACAACCCAAATGTATAAATTGTGAACATATCTTTTGCTACAAGAACATTCTTCCATATTTTCCTTATCAATTTAGGTGTTGTTTTATACCTTCTCGAAGATCTCCGCGACTGGAGGATCATTATGCTCAGGTATTGTTTTGTTTAGACTAAGACAGAATTTATCCTTACAGTGTCAATACAATATCAACCAGATGAGTGATGAGAATAAAGAAAAATATCAGTTTGGGGATAAATAGTTGATCCAACACTAAATTTTCTGAACTAACATTATAAGAATTGTATGGTTGAGAGTAAAGAGAATTACAAATTTCATCTGTGAGTTAAAGGGTTAACATTAAAGTTTTTTATCGCTGAGGAAATATCAAATGTTCCTTCTATGAAATACAACTCGAAAATCTCATTTTTTCAGATGAAGAAAAATCCAAATATATTTTTTACAAAATTGATAACAAAGTTCAATTTTGAGGTACACTTTAAATAACCATCTTTCGAGAAAAATTAATGATTCCATTATCATTGTAAGCATATCTTTTCATGTCTATCAAAACATCTGGGACTCGGCATGATAAAAGCGATCGTGAAAAGAAAAAAGAACAGATTATTCAACAAAGAACCTTCCTAAGTTTATTATTAGCTTTTCAAACATGTTTGGTTTCTCCCTGTGCTCCTATGATTCAATAAAGGACATTGAGTCAAATATCACCTAAACTGAAAGTTTATTCTTCAAATAGTACTGTGCAAAAATGTTGGATGGTATCTTACTTATGGTGTTAATGTAGGCTGTATTTTGAGGGATGTTAGGTGGATCATTGACAAAATTGAATTTTTAGCCTAAAAAATGAAAATCCACGCACCATAATGGAAAACTGATAATTGCTTCCAGCCCAAACAAAACTGAGCTCTCCCTGTCAGCAATTGCCTACTGGAGTTTTTCGTTCTCGTTTATCATTCTTGACTAATTAAAAGATCCCAGGCGACGAGACTTAGACGCCTTTGTTCGTAACTGCATCGCCCTGATGCAGATAAAATAATGCCATATTTCCACACTTAGTAATACTTATCGCGTTAAAGGCCCGATCTTTTTCAAGGAAACTTAGAATTACAATTTTTCCAAAGGCACAAGTCTTAATTATCGCTAACATGGAGGCAAATTTCTCATTTGTCATTGATTATCAATTACTGGTCTTATCTTTCAAACGTGACATCTACCCTAATTCTATGTAGAATACTTAGAACAGAATCTTCTTCCACCAAGAATTCTGTAAAATTCCAGAAAATAACTTCAACCATTACTCCATGGTTTTGGACCTGAAAGACTTTGTATTTTCGTCTTCGCGTAATACAACATTCTCATTAATTTTGCAGTCATCTTTAGTGAAATAATCTCTTGATATGGATTTCTTTTGGGGAAAAAAAAATTTTCCAGAGTGATAATCGAACAAATTTTTCCTTACGCGTCAATTTAAGAACAGCATGACCTCTTGTATTTGCAATATCGTTAGTTCTGAAGTTCGTTTCACCGTGGAATATCAGTTTTTATTTAATTTTCTCGTATGTTTAGGGTCTCACCCATTTTACTAACTCAAAAGAGTCTTTGGTGTTATAGAGGGTTGAGGATTACCTCATACAGTGGCATGATTTTAATTAGATATGAAGATTGCGGGAAGTTCAGAGAGCACAGAAGTGGCGTTTGAGTTGCCCGAGGTGCAGCCGAGATTCGCTTTCCAACAGAACTTCGGACTGTCAGGCGTGACATACACTGCAATCCGGGTCATCGTTATGTCCAAACGCCTGTATTTGATATCCGCTTCATCTTTTACAAAAATATTCGCGTACGAGCGTTTACCCTAGTGACTCAAGCTTCCACTGATAATGTCGAAAGCAAATGCAGCTTTTACCGAATTCCTCCAAGATCCTAATGAACACTGAATTCAAAATTGCCTGTTTTTTAGATCATGACTTCAGTCTAGAATTTCCAAGCCGTCAGAAGTCTAAATCAGCGTATTCAACTGTCAAGATAAATGGAGACAAAGACATCGATGCTCTCACGATATGCTTATGGTTGAAACCGTCCTTGGGCTCGGATCTTGGACTTCTACGCTATTTTGATGAAGCGGGGTCCGATGTATATTTTGCATTGAGGCTAGGTTCTGTTGGGCAGATATGGCTTTCGATCCACGGTGAAGATAGGTAATAAACAGAAATGTTTTTGCCACCTATACCTTGTCACATCAGTTTTTTTAATTTTTTTTTTAATCGCTCTGCTCTCCGATTTAGTCTGTATTTACATTGGCTAATACTCCTGTGTAAGTGCATTAGCCCTAGGCTATTATTGGAAATTCCCTTGGACTTCTTTTCAATTTCCGTGGCAATAGTCATTGTCGGGCTCTATATCTTTATCTTTTATTATCATCTATTTCTTGGGGGAATGTTTGGTCTCCGTCTTTAAAAACAAATTAGCTCGTCGTGGTTTGGACAAAGGTACTCTAGCCAAAACGAACTTATCTGTGTTGATGTCGCTTGCGGACTCGATATGATGGCAGAATTGTCAGTAGCTTGTATGAATTTTTAATACATATACAGCTATTTCAATTTACGTTGTCGGATCAAAGCCTCAAGCCTACAAGACAAGACCGAAGGGGAATATGGGATCTTAATGAATAATTATCAGCAAAATTAACAATGCCTCGTCCATACAGCGAAGATCTCCGATGGCGAGCCATTTGGATGAAAGAAATGTTGGGGTTTCAAGTGGATGAGGTTGCAGCTGCTTTATGGATGTCACCAAGAACTATCTACCCATACCGCCTTTCGGTCTTGTCCCGTACCCTTGAAGCTTTGATCCGACAACGTAAATTGAAATAGCTGTATAGCTGTATAAACCCACTACAATTATTCCTCAAAGCAAAATACAGAAATTAACGCGATAAAAAATGGTTTGCCCTGAGGGTGAAATAAAAAATGATGACAAGGGTATACAGATGTCTCACAAAAAAGCATCCCTTACCAATTAATGTATTTTTAAATATCTCAGTCATATCTAGCTAGGTATAGCAAAGGTCGTAGTTTGAAACTCTCTAACCTTTTTTTTTTCCTATGTCTTGTGTTCATAACGTGAAGCAAAGGAAAATTGACAATAGGCTGGTTTAGAAAATTTTGAATTAAGGACTCATTTACTTTTCTGAGATGATTTTTTTCGCTCAATAGAGAACTAGATATCATGCCTCAAATCCAGAACGGCGAATGGCATGGACTATGTGTCACATGGAACAAAGATGGTGGCCATTTTCTGATTTACTACGACGGTCGGTTAATTAGAAGTGAAAGTGATTTCAAATCCGGAAAATCATTTTCCTCGAAGAATACCTTTACTTTGGGAATCGGAGCGGAGGAAAAGTTTAACTACACCGGTATGTTAGGGCATGTAAATATATGGCCACGCATTTTGGAGCACCCTCTCCTTTCAGTTCTTTCTTCCAAGTGTGGGGTAGAACGTGGAGGACTTGTTTCTTGGCCTCAGTTCCAGAAGGATCTTCGTGGTGTTAATTTGGGAGAATCCTGTTCTTCTAACGGTAAGGGAAAACACAGTTAATAGCTCCTGCTTAAGGAGCACTTGATTTAACGTAAGGGTAGAGAGCTGGTGACTTGCATTATTTCTACCGACTTCTCTTGCGTACTGATGTCCTCTTCCTAGGCCGCGAAAATGCCAATGTATCTGTAACAGATCTCGACAGAAATATAAACAATATACTTCACTAACCCAAAACACTTTCACGATAGCTGTTTGATCTCCAGGAAAAATAATTCAGGTTATAAAAAGATGTTAGTAGATTTTTTACTAGCGCAGGCCAAATTAAAAAGAAAAAAGTATGGATCCTTACGAGAATCGGTCCCATTCTTTCCTATTCCGTGCTTCGTGTTTATTAAAATTTGTTAGCTTGTCAATAAAAGATTTAACAGCTCGTTTGCTCTATTTTAGAAGTTCGTATAACGCATGAAGTGAAGCACTGGAAGCTTAATGGAGAGGATCAAGATCTGAAGTAGGTTTTCTGATATATGCGAGCTTGACGTTATCCTATCGACGTTGTAGTCGTAGCTATTGACACCGCAACAATCTTTACCATTATAATAATAGTCGCCATCATTGTCCTCATAATTTTCATTATCATCATGATCATCATCATTATCAAATCATCTTTGCCATCATCTTTAAATTCGATGTCATCGTTCTCTCTATTTTCCTCTTCTTCCAGATCCTCTTTCGCCTTTGGATGCCTGTTTTCCTCCTTCCTCCTTACTCTATCTAACTTAGCTCGACTTCCCCGTTGTCGCTCCGTAAAAGCTGCTAAAATACCTCGTCATTTATAAATCCTCCTCTTTATCGTCGTTTCCTTTCGTATTCTTCCCTTTGCTATCAGTGGTTATTTAGTTTGGTTAATTTTTTTTCAATTTGCCATCTCACAAAACTCAATGTTGGAGGGGACATCTACCATCACCAAACTGGCACTTCGGTGTTAATGCAGAATGAATATTTCTCGTATTTTTAATCTCCATTTTTCTTATTTGCCAAGGAAGTTTACATCCTAAACAACGTTTCTCTATAGCCCGCAGTATAGCACTGTATTCTTGGAAGGTCGCCTTAATGGTCACAAAGCTGTTTATCTTGATCAAACAATGGCCTACATTGAAGCCCCACCCGTTTCTTTTGGCATGGCATTCACCATGACATCCTGGGTAAAACTTCTTTATTCCGCCCCGATCTACAGACCAATTCTCAGCGTCGAAACAAACAGCACAGATAAATTTTCCATCGGTTTTAATGCTGATAATCAGCTGCTGCTCGACAACTGGTCCCAGGGAGTTTACAACATCACAAAAAGCTATGCCTTACATCCAGCGAACGAGTGGATCCACGTGACTGTAACCTGCAACCAAGATAGGGTGTTGTCGTTTTTTGTCAACGGAATGAAGGATATATCTGTAGCTGACGTATGGCAGGGTCCAAGAAGCGGCGCGTTCGAAATAGGCAGATACAAAAATATTAGTGAAGACAAGCATCGGTACTTTCATGGTTTTCTCAGTGATCTCTTTGTTTTTTCGAGAGCTTTGAAAGCAGATGAAATCGGACGATTGATGGGTAAGTGAGACCTGTTTGAATGTTGTCGAGAAAAATACCTCCAGGGCAAACGAACGGCACTCTACAATCCGACTACAATAAGTAGAGTACAAATAACGCGCGAATCGGGTACAAATATCACACAATACTTGGACAGTTGGCTATTTTGCACTTTAAAAGAAATCTGTTTAACCGGTCGGCTGAGAGCGCTGTGTTTCTCTATCTGCTTCGGTTTTCCTGTCTTATAGTAAGTTCATATTATCGTTGTTTGTATTTTAACTCTGACCACCTAGCTACAGATTAACATGGCGCGATACTACACATAAAACCGTTTATCGATATATCTATGCACGAGCGACTTGGAATTGCATAAAAATTTTGATTCTTTCGTACTCTTATCAAGGCTCTTCGAATCCTTGTACTTTCTCGAAGTGGAGCTCTGATGCTTTGACACCGCAACAAACACCAATAGAGAAATATCGTTACAAATATTGCCCAGGTATTGGGGAATGTAAAGAAGTGCGAAAGTGGAAACCAGGTTTGTAAGAATAGAACCTACTCTCTTTTTTATTTTTATATTGACCCATGCCTTGGATAATTTAATTATCCAAATTAAATTAAATTGTCGGCCGACTGGCCGACTGGCCGACTGGCCGACTGGCCGACTGGCCGACTGACCGACTGACCGACTGACCGACTGACCGACTGGCCGACTGGCCGACTGGCCGACTGGCCGACTGGCCGACTGGCCGACTGGCCGACTGGCCGACTGGCCGACCTGACAAACTGTCCGCGATACTGACAAGCTGACTGACTAATAGACAGATTGACTATCTGACTGACCGACTAACTTTCCAAATAGATGAACTGATCGATCCATTGATTATTTACCTGTAAATATACGTCGGTCAGAGGGTAGATCAGGGCGCATTTATTACGCTTGATTTCTCTTTTTTTTATTGTTATTTCATACACAGCTGACTGTCGAGAAGTGCTGTTCTCGGGAAATAAGACCAGTGCTAAGTACGCTATAAGCCCCTTAAACAACCACGAAGAATTCGAAGTTTTCTGTGACCAGGAAACGCAAGGTGGTGGCTGGACAGTCGTTCAACAAAGAATTAATGGGTCACTGGGCTTCGATAGAACATGGGATGAATACAAAGCTGGTTTTGGAACGGTAGGCGGCCAATTAGAAATGTGGCTGGGTAATAATAGAATTCATAGCTTAACGACCCAGAAAACTGAGCTTTTGATCGAATTGAAAGCGTTCGATGGAACTGAAGGATTTGCTTACTACGGCCATTTTCACGTGGCTGGTGAGGATCTTTCGTATAAGCTATCTGTTGGCGGTTTTTCAGGGAACATTCCTGATAAACTAGGATTGCATAACACTTTTAACTTTTCGGTGACTGAATGCGGAGCTGGAACTTCATCTTCGGGTTGGTGGTTCACTCCTTCTTGTGGCGAGGCTCTGTTAAACTCTGAGTATGGACATGAAACTGGTTCTATGATGTGGAGTGGTTTTCCGTATACTGGCGCCCATAAAGGCAAAATAAAGAAGACCACAATGAAAATAAGAAGGAAAGAAGGTAAAGTGTTATTCGAAGTTAGAATTCGTGAAATACTTGTTACACTTAACTGTTTCTATTGTGAAATGAACTCTTTAGCCTCTTTTGGCTAAAATGTTAAATTCTTGGTCGATGTTCGATGAAACCCCCGCCCTCACTCTACAAACTATTTCATTTTTTTAACAAATCTTTAGGGTATCCTGTTTTTATCACAAACTGGACACCATCAGCAATGCGTTCTCGCTAACTTATGCAATGATTAGCCTATTTTCATTCGTTTCATGAGGTGTTCAGCCGAAGGTACATGCATTTACCGAGAAGTCTATTATTTCTTTCCAGATCATTTTGGAGACTACACTCTGAAGTTCTCAGAGAGGAGAGAAACCTTAAGCATCGTCACCTTTCCAATCATCTTGACAGAGTTCCAGGCCTTTACCTCATGTCTCTGGTTAAAAGTGCGACCTCCAACAGTTCCTAGACTAATGAATCTGTTCCGATATGCAGAACAGGACGGAAACTTCAGTATGGACTTAAGACCCGATGGCAAGGAATATAAGATCATTTTATCGATTTGGCCAAGGTAAGGAAAAAATTAATCAGAAGTACTAACATAATCTAGTAAAACTTGAGATAAGGAGCATGTTCATTCATCTCCTAGACATAAAAAGGTTCAAATTATTTGAGATTCGGGTGTCAGTGTAATGAGATGCAACTATAGCCAACATGAGATTGATTCATGTTACGTGCCTTCCCCCATCCCGGATTGTAAATGGATAATAGCACACTGTCGCGGTAACACGTGGAAAGAGTTTGAAGGAAAAAAGAAAGGGGGGGGGGAGGGGGTTGGAGAATAAATTGTTCATCGATATCACAACGTATTCGTGATCGAAACTTGGTCGTTAAAGTTGACGATAAATTAAAATTAGGGGTTGGCGAAAAAGTCGCGCTGAATACAAAAAGGATGATACTTGGCTGCACGGAATTCGAGTGCTCACGAGTAAGCAAAGCTACTGCAGGAAGTGTTTACCCATGGAACTGAAACTTTCCTATAACTCAGAAGTAGAGCGTCCGAACTACTAATCGAAGGCCATAGGTTCGACTCCTATTGGGAACACTCGAAGTTCTTTTTCTCGGAGTATCAGGCCTGTGTCATTCATTTAATATTGAACATCATTCTCTCCTTAAGATTTCTTCACCACAAATGTACTTTTATCCGAGAAAGTTGAATTCAACCTGAGAAGTGTTCTCAGATTGAAACCCTTAAGGAATTGTTAAACCGCTATGTATGTGAAAAAAGGTCCTTATGTTGTTAAACCTGGTAAATACGAAAACGTTCATGTCTGGGCATGTCAGGATAGAAATATTAAATTTATTGTGTGCGTTGAAGAAATCCTGTTTTCGAAACAGGAGAGATTGTGTTATTTCGTCAATATCGTCATATTAAATCTCGATATTTGCAGCACCCAAAGGTTTAATAAACAAGTCAAATATCCTTCTTTGGATGGAGGCTGGCATCATGTTTGCACATCCTGGACTTGCGTAGATGGACGAGGTGCAATTTACATAGACGGTTCTCAAACATCATTCATTGACATTGGTAACGGGACGAAGTTCCCTGGTGGTGGGAAAGTTTTCATTGGAAATATACATGTACTGGACCCGCCTCAGCTAGAAGGGGAGATCACATACATGAATTTATGGGATAAAGTACTGTCGAATGCTAGGATCGAAAATCTTGCGCTCTCTTGTAGCGCTGAAGCTGGGAACGTTTTACAATGGAGTCTTTTCGCAGCCATGTCGGTGGGAAATGTACAAGTCGTTCCCTTTTCTGCGTGCAGAGCAAAAGGTATAATTTTTTCTAAAGTGCATAATCGTAGTCTTTTATCTAACACTTATAAATACGCACCACTGACAGAGGAAATAATTTGACGTCGAATATTCGTTCTTCTATAAATCAGAAAACAATCTGCTTCGTTTTACTCTCTGTATTTTCAAAGCATTTGTACTTAGGAACAGAACCACACAGACGCCTATTCATAGTAAGCTCGTTTTTTCAATGCATCTCACCCCTGCGGAGTGTACTTTTCATTGTGCCTTTTTTCTCAAAATCACAGTGAAAGCATCTGAATCCAGAGTCACTTGACACTGAGAATGGCTTTTATTCAGATTATAGGGCTACCCTTACCACTAGGGCGGACAGTCTTATTGATATGCTTCTCGTTTTTTCTTTCTTCCTTTCTTCATTTTTTTGCTAGCTGTTTTCTTTTTTGTTTCGTTTGAGGCTTTCTTCTACTAGTGAATTCGTGGATATCTGGATATCTTGACGAAAAAAACTAGAGAATGTCATCTGATATTTCTAATTGAAACTATTTCTTCCGCCATCATCCTTGTTTCTGTCTGTTCTAGAGATGTATTATTGGAACTTTAACCGATCAAGTTCCTTGCAAAGCTTCGACGAGAACAAAAATCACCGCGCCGAGTTAACTGGAGCCCAGATATCAGCTGACCAAAAATATTTTGTGATCGAAGATCAAGGAAAGTTTCAAGCGGAAAATTTGAGCTCAGAACTCAGTGGTGAAAATGGATTTACGGTTTCATTCTCAGCCAGGCAGACAGGTGGGTTAGATGGGTGCCATTTCATGCCATGTCAAGTTGGACGTCATATGCATCCTGGAAAGAACTTCCAAATTCTTTAAAAAGTGTAAATGCTTGTAATCACTCATAATTCCTTTTAATCCCAATGAAATTGATCGAGGACACCTCTAATCGCCATTTGGCAACTAGTGAATGATAATAATGGACAAAAAAGGGAAAAAAATGTTTACAATAGAAATAAGAGACAAAAAACAGACAACCATGTTAACGTGAGATAGGTAAAAGCCGAGTGAATTCACGGAAAACATTCTTTTATTAGGGAGTAAGAAACTGTGTTGCTGCGTCAGTGAGAGGTGAAACAAGATAATTATTTTATCGACCGGGCCAGCGTTAGCCCTTTGTCATAAAGCCAAGCTGAATTGATATTGATTTCCATCGATTTTTGTAGCACATATAGGTGACACATGTTTTTAGACTTATAACAAAGCCAAGTAAGGAAAAACGTAAGTGAAACAAACCTTATCTTAAATTGCTTAGGACACAATGTTGAACTACATCAAACCTCCCCTCCAAACTTTGTATTTCTACCTCTCTCCAAGAAGTCAATTCCAGTTATAGGAGACATTTCTGCGACCTGGGGATATCTACTAACGCTAGCTTGGGCAAAATTCGAACCTTTAACTTCCATTAAAACCTGTGTTTTCTCTCTAATCTCTTTCAGTTTTAGCCTCAAACATACTTAAGGATGACTTCAAATCTCTTGAGGTGCTCCGCAAAGCATTTCCTGATTTCCTTCGTGACCATGCAACGTGGAAACGTTGTTACTACGCTAACCAGTCATCCTGGAGCACTAAAGAATTTCACACCGAGTGCGATTATAGGGGACCAACACTAACTATCATACGTGTCCGAGAATATGTTTTTGGAGGCTTTATTGACCAGAGTTGGGGAGGTAGGCATTCTTTAATAATATAAAAATCTTTTTGAGGGTCAGAACTACGTAAGTTGTTCAAAAACTCAGTTTTGGCTGAAAGCCCAGAGGCATTGTCCTAGCGCGTGTCGTTAATGCAAACGAAGTCGTTTGTGCCGTGTTTTACAAAGCAGTAAAGAGGCGCACGCTGCCATATCTGAAGAGCGAAATCATCTAAAAGACTAAAACTATTCTCTTGCACGGATAAACAAATGAATATAAACTTAATCAAACAAGAGCGTGCATGCACCCTTTAACAAGCATCTTCCATAGGAATCAAGTACTCTGGAAATAGTTTCATGATTTTTAAACGATTTATTGCCTACAGATTCTAAAGAATGTGTTTGTATAATATTTATGATGGTAAATTAAGGATGAATATGTAAAAAACATGACTAACCAATGTAGCAAAAAGGGACCAGATAAAAACGCTCATGCTTTATCAAATTGTATTTTCGTCTTGTTCTTAGGAAAACCAGCAGACATTGGACGTCAGATAGAAGGATTCCTGTTCAGCCTGTCAAACCCGTTTAACCTGGCCCCTCGAGTCCTATCAATCCAGCATGGCAACGCATCCGGAAGAACAGATCCGCTGCTTGGTCCAAGTTTTGGAGAAAGGGAACTTGAGCTCTTTGAAGATAAAAATGGCCGAATCATGGGATACAGCAATTTGGGTGCTTCTTTTGATCTGAGGAATGTTTCATTGCCTTCTCATGAAACTCGTTATTACTTAACGGGCTCTCAGCATTTTTATCCAAACCAAGTGGAAGTTTTTTATTACCATGGTGAGTTAGTGCTGAAAAGGTATCAAAAGATTAGTTTTGTCGGTGAGTAAACTCGAGGAACACTCTGAGACCTCATAGGAAAAAAGTTCCGATAAAATTAATCGATTTAAACCTTTCAATTTGTTGGCTTTTGTCTAATAGCCATTAAAGATGGATAAAACAAAATATAAATGAGCTCGACTTTCTTTTTGGATAGTCAATAATCAGGTAAAAACTCAAGGGATTTTATGCGAGTTAGGGTGACTTGAGGCTTAAGATAAGTCGCGGCAATATCGAGCTTTCCGCTTTATTTAGTTCTATCTAAACAATTCGTTCATAAAATCAAATGATACTCGAAAACCATAGCTGAGTGGTTCGTCACATGCGCTATACAACTGTTGCTTTCGAAGGTAAATATTTTGTAAGGCGACTCGAGAAAAGCTTGACCGAAACATGAAGCGACTCATGGAGATTTGAAGCGACTTGAGATAAGCTAATGCACTATATGTCTCTCTCCCTTTAGTCCCTTCTACGCCATTAGGTCTAGAAAATCAAATATTACCCGACAACTACCTGAGTAGCTCATCACAACTCAATAACAGCACTGGTCCTTATCTGGCTCGCTTAAACGAGCAACGCGACTCGAAGGCGTGGTGTTCAACCGGCCCTAATGAATGGTTGGAAGTGTTCTTGGGAAAACAATACACCCTGACGCACGTGGCTCTGCAATCGATTGGTGGAGGCGTAGACGTATCGGAATTGAAAGTTCAGTATGAAAAGACTAAGGATGGAACCAATTGGACAAAGTATAGCAAGGAGATTGACGGAAAAGAAATTTCTAAGGTTTGCTTGTTGCTTTTGTTGCAGGGGTTTAAAAAAATTGGCTATCTTTTACTGCAGCCTATAAGGCCTCCTATTATTTGTCACGGGGCCACAGGACAACCGCGGTCTACCGCTGGCCATAAAACCTCCTACTGCCGTCTATTGAGCCTGCACGCAGGCTCTCGTGTTTCGGTTTCGCCTGAAAAGCTCTTTTTTAGCCCCAGCTGCCTGTGCTTTTCAATTTTTTGCTGTTTTTTTCCACTTTTTTGTTTTTCGTTCTTTCTTCTATTTGAAGGTAAATACATGGGGAGCTTTGAAATTGTTACAGGATTGATTTAGTTTTGCTTTAGCGTTCTGTGATCTTTCAGGAAACTCAAACCAGCCTCTCAACCAATCAGAGTCAAATCTAAAACCGACAGAGTCACTCACATTTTCTAGCGCCTCGGACAGTTCATTTGTATCTATTTCGACTTTTCTTGGTTTGTTCTCGTTTTTCTTTTGTTTTGATTGGTTGTTCTTACGTTCTTCTAATATCACCAAAGGTGATACTGGAATAACGCAAAATAAATTATGGAGGCCGGTTATTTACACGAGGTCCAACCAAAGCCATGGCTTTACGCAATCAGTGGGCCCTAATCTTTCTCCAAAAGAGGTTTAATGTAATTAAATAAATGTCCTTCCGTCGTTAGCTTTCGGCATTTTGAGCACTGATCACAAAAAGAAATGTTTAGACAAAAAGATTCAACTTAACTGAATATCGTTTACGACAGGGTTTTGTTGAAAAACGGCTAAACTTTGTTTAGATAATTAGACCATAATGTCTGAAAACATTTTGAAAGTTTAATTTATTACTTTTATAACTGTTTCACCCATGTAATTTATTTTAAAGGTACTTCGCTTCAATTTTCCATCAGCTGGGTTTTTGATGAAGGAAGCGTTCATTCCATCTTTCCAAGCCGTCAAGGTCCGATTCTATCTTACAGAAACGAGAGTACAGTGCATCAAAATGGAACTTTATTCCTACGATGCAGGTTTGTGTATGAGATTAAAAAATGGGAAAAAAAAGCTCTTAAGCCATTTAATTTTCCATAAATATGCACACTTTTATTCAATTTTCATGTTATCAATGATAGTTGCTTTCAATCAGCTTAAGAGTACAGGTCAATTCTTCGTGTCTCGCTTTCTCTTTAAGGTTGCTCTCAGCCTCATGGAGTTGAAAATCGGACGGTAGTTCCAGATGAACAACTAACAGCATCCTCAACCGAAGTTTCTGATAAATACAAACAAGATTACTTTTGGCCAAACAAAGGTCGGCTAAACCACGATGAGGAAGGGGCAAGTTCCTGGGGACCTTACAAGCATCCAGTCCATTTGTTCGAGGGAATCTGGTTTCAGGTAATCATCGTTGATAAGTGTTCCTGAACAAGTGCAGGCCAAATTCTCAAGTTGGTTTTTGCGATCTTTGTTAATCTTTAGTCAGTCTCGGGTTGGTCTGTTGTGAAAGGGGGTAAGGAGAGGGAAGTAGGAGGTTAGGGTGCTGGGGAGGAAGTTTTATTTCTTGAGATAAAACTGAGAACAATTTTACTCCCTCTTTCTTTTTCACTTCTCGCTGATTAAGAAGGTAAAATAAAATTCCTTTATTACCCTGAATACTTCGATTGGAAGTTTAAGGGTGCTGTGGCCTTGTCAGGATTTCATGCATTCGAGCTGATTGTGATACGTTTTATTTCTAAGGTCGATTTAAAGGATGAAACAGAAGTAACATGTATTGCAACCCAAGGAAGGCCAAGACACATCCAGTGGCCAACGAAATATCAAATTGCGTACAGCTCTGAAGGAAATGACTGGAAGTATTTTGAATATAACAATGGAGTAAAGGTAGCATTACCCCTTTTCACATCTTTATTTCCATCCGTTTCCCCGAACAAGGAATGCGGGACGGAAGGGTAACGTGCTAGGAAACTTTGTCCCCTGTCTCCCGTCCCTGTTAGCTTTTTTTAAATGATTCTTGAATCTTTTGGGAAATTGAGTGTATTTTTGAGTGGTTAAGATCTGAAACCGCAAAAAGGTTTATTCCTAAATAACTCTTGGCGCGACATTTTCTATCTTAGGAATATGATGCAAATTCAGATCAACACATGGCAGGTACAAACTGGTTGGTTCCATCCATATATGGAAGATTTTTTCGAGTATATATCACTCAGTGCAATTTTGCCTGCAGATTGCGAATGGAATTGTATGGTAGAAGAGATTCGAGCAATAGTAAGTCATCCAATACAATTTTCAAGCTTTCTGTACATTCTTTACCAAATATAGCGCTAAACAAAGAAACAAGAAACGGACATTTTTTATAATTTTCACTAATCAAGGTAGCCTTTTTGCTTTCGACTTGGCCTCTGTCGTGACGACGTATACTGGCGTGGGGTTTTTTTTGTTTTCTTAATGCAGATTGTGTTAAACTTTTCCAGCACTGGTGCTTTCCATATATGTTTGCGATTCAGATGAATGACGGTTATGCCATAACGAATTGCATCAAAAACCTTAGAATAATCTCAACTTTATCACTTACACCACGAATTCTTAAGCAAATAGCTGACACAAGTCATGAACTACGTGATTGCTGCTTCTGCCATCTTATCAATTCAAGATCTTTTTGAAAAGAATTAGATGCAGCACAAAAATGTTAGGAAGCTGGATGAAAGAAATTGATAATTTAACTATGTAACTGACCCTCACTGGAATAGGAATGCTGTTGGTTGCTACCTATGAGTTATCGTATGTTCGTTTGCCACAATTTCCTTTTGAAGGCATCTGCTGGTTTAAGAATGGCCTATGTTTCATCGTTCGACGTGGGCGATACCACATTTTCTTCGCCAAAGAAAATTATCGATGGGAAATACGCCATAAATTGATTGTAAACCAATGGTTCGAAGCCACTGTCACCTGGAAACCTCAAGAGGGTCTAAAATTTTATTTCAACGGCAATCTGGTAGCATCACATAAGAATCCAATACAAATGAGCGTTTCCCCTGACCATGAACCGTTCAAGCTTCTCATAGCTTCAAAGGAGAATGGAGGTGGGTGGAGCAGAGCGACTTCTATTGATGATGTCGCGGTTTGGGGAATGGCGATGACCAAAGAGCAAATTAAACGCAAGTCTGAAGGTTTGTTTATAGTTTTCACAACCGCAAGCTTTCATTGAACGTATTCCCTCCTTTTCAAAACTCTTATCTGCCAATTGTCAAGGAGACTAATCAGTTCAGGACAAATGTATTAGTATTGGCAGTTTGTCAAAGAAAACTTAAAGGTTTCTTACAGACTGATATTCCATCGGGTAGAAGGTCTCATACTACCGAGGAAGAGCATAGAGCGCTTTTCGATCGAGTTCCATAACAAGAAGTAGATAAAGTAAAAACATGCACACTGCTTCGAGCGAGAGAATGGAAATGAAAATATCATGATCGGCTTCAGTTTTTCTGCTAAAACCTACTAAACATGTTGAATTAAATAGCTGTCTACTTGCTGTTCAATCTACTCTTGATATCATCCTTCTAATGTTCCTAGTTCATTTCGACTTTGACGATAACTCTAGAGACTGGAAATCTTTACTAGATGGCACCAGTTCCTGGAAACTACACCAAGGATGCACTAAAACGTCGGGTACTGGGCCATGCGACGATGGTTCTAGAGGAGGTATCATGAACACTTGTTTGTTTACTTCTTTGTTCTTGCTTGTTTTTTGTTGCTGTTGTTGTCGTTTTTGTTTCAGATAATTTCCAGCTTTACCTGATTACGTTTTTCCACTCCTCCACTAAACCTCGCGGTTTTCGATTGTGCTTCGTTTAACTAGCTTGGAACGGGCCATATTTTACCGTGCATCGAAGCATTGAATGGCTTGCGTTTGGAGGGATTTTATGTATTGTATGGCAAAAGCCAAACAGCGAGGGGAACAAAACGTAAACGTAGGAATTTTCTATAAAGCCTCCAAACTGATGCACAAATTTATCTTGAACCTCAGTTAACTTTATTTTGTTTCAAACGGTCAATACCAGGATAGTCAGGGAGGCAACGTCTTGACTGTCACAGGGAAACAAAATAAGGGCTCACTTTCCTTACCATGAAAAATGTAAAATTTGCATAACAGAATGAAGCAAAAAAAACAACGACAGATTTCGCTCGGTGCGAGCTGTCTCTTCATGAGGATCAATCGGTACCATATAATTGACTTCGTTCAGTGTGTTACAACTGGTTTCTTTGTTTATTTGTTGTCTACAGGTCGCTATATTTATTTTGATGCCTCGCTGTCTAAAGGAAAAGCCAGGTTTTCTACTCCCTACAGTATCCACTCTCATACGTGTCTGAAATTTCATTATCATATGACTGGTATGCATACAGGGAGGCTAAATGTTTATACGACAGATATCAGGGGTAAAGAACAATTGCTGTGGAGGCTCTTTGGAGAACAGGACAATATATGGAGAGAGGCCAGTATCCCAGTCAACGGTATTCATCAACAATATCAGGTACATTTTTTCGATTGTTACACTATGAAAGTGTTAACCACTGACCAATTAGGCCTTAGCTCCATTTTGGCCATTGCTTTTACCTGTTTAGAAAGCAGTTGAGATACTACACGTACTCTCATTGGTCGATAGTGGCGTTTAGATGAGAGCATTTGAATGCGGTTGATAGGTTTTTTAGATAAATTTCTCATAAAAACGAGTGACAGGACTTTTCCTGTAGACCATTTGCCCACACGAAGGGCTAACGCTCTAAACATCCAAACGTCAACTTTAAAAAAATTTTCCGGTGGCCAAATTATATTTTCCTGTCTAGCTTCACTGAAACACAAGGGGTGTTGAGAGACTTCGAGAAAGTCCTGCTAGCCCACGACTGCCCATTGAGTTCGCAAAATTGTCCAGAAGTCTCCCAAATTTTGTGAGTCTAACATAAGCCGACCTGAATATAGATATTTCAACAAGTGCGTATATTCCGTCATAGGTTATTTTTGAAGCGGTTGGTGGTCCAGATCACTTAGGAGACTTAGCAATAGATCAGATTGTGTTTACCAGAGAGTCGTGTGTCTTCTCGCCTTTTTCAGCAATGCCCCAGAATTCGTATCGCTCAGGAGTGGGTAAGTCACGTGTTGCTCTATTTTTACTGCATTTCTGATGTTTGCATCGTCTTATTTAGTGAGATTATGTTCCGGGAACAAAGAACCTCCTAAAAGTTGACTTTCTCCTAACAAGTGGTAGCTCGGTTAATAGTAGCGCCCGAGTATTATCTTTAAGACTTGGGTACGAATCCCTCAAAGCCTGAATTTCCTCAGGCTTTTCTCTTGCAATTCCTTCTATCGCTGCTCTTCAGTGAGGTTACTCTTTATCCTCTCTTTGTTTTTCTGTTCCATGGAAAATTCAAGATATTTTTTCATGTGAGAGTCAGCCTTCTAAACTAGAACTTCTTTTCCAAAGCGAAACTACTGAATCCCTGAAATAATGTATACTCAAGAACCCATGGCAGCTTATACAAAATTGTATGTAGGCTTGTCATGAAAATAAATAAAAATGGCCTAAGAATTCTGGCGTCTTTAACACACTTTTACTGTTCTCGTGACTTCATTTTTCGTAGTTATCACCTCCTCTATAGTTTCAATGGACACTATTTACCATCAATATCTTGGTTTGATGGTGGAAGAAGAAGGTTATGGCTCTTCCCGTTGGATTCCTTGTTATCGCGCTCTTGATAATGGCTGGAACGTTTCTACCTTTCACAGGCTCTGTGACGATAAAGGTCCTACCATGACCATAATCAGAAAAAGAAATAACGTGTTTGGGGGCTTTACTGAACGAAGATGGAGTGAAGGTACTTCATGAAGATTTTTTTTTTGGCCCTCTTTTAAAATAGTAATTGTTGAATCATTTTTTAGAGCCATTAAAAATACACCAAAAAGTACCCAAAGAAGCTAATGTAGCTTAAAATGCTGTATGAGACCACTGAGCCTATAAGACCTTCAGGCTGTCAGCCTGTGCCCTCACTGCCAGAGAACTACTCCCATTTCCAATTTCTAGGGGGAGGTTATGAGCACTGTTATTCCCCTTGGATGGGATGTAAGTCCCGCGTAACCTCCCAGCATTTATCCACTCCTTGGTGGAGAGAGATACTAATGGAATAAACTAAATGACCGCTAAATGACCGCCATTAAACTCTCGCGTTGCAATGTTGTACTCTATTATTGTGGTGTCATTGTAACAAAATGTGTTTACGTTATGAATTTTCAGGCCAGGAAAATGACCACTCCAGTTACGATTTCCATTTTTGGCGCAAAAACGTTGCGGACTGTGTCAAAACCGCTATACTACCTCTCACGTCATCGCCAATTTCTAGTTTCACAGCCTCGTTTTGGATTAAAACCTCAGTTAAGTCACCATTAATAGTGTTCTCTATTAAGCAAACAGGCAGCCGCATGCATTTAAAACTGGATTCTACCGACTCATTCACTCTTTGTTGGATCATTCCCTTTAATGAATGCAAGTAAGTTGAAATTCCCTCATTATTTTGTTCAAGACTAAAGGAAGATCAGATGAGTAACGCATTAGCTGACGACATGAAATGACGGCTATGAAAGAGACTGAACTTACTGTTTGTTGGTTGTTGTTTGTTTTTGGATAACGTGACATGGCGGATTGTCCGAATTGTAGCAGCGACAGGGTCATATATTGTGTCGTAACTTTTGAGTTTGAGACATCACTCTCCCAATGATTTCCTACACTCAAGGGTATTAATAGGTACCAGTGAGTTGCCAGAGAAACCCAGCTAAATGTTGTTTAGTTGTGGTCTAACAACAGGGAAGGGAGAGTAGAAATATTTCTGGCTTCTGTATGTATGCAAACTGGGATAAACGGCGACAGCTACGTATGTTGCTGTTTTGTGCCGACAAAAAATTTTAGCTGTTCTCTCATGAAAAAAGTTTCAGAATACGTCAATTATATGCCACAATTTCTACGTTACGCGGGCGTGCGATATCGTTTTCCTTTCCACATGAAGCCTTGCGTTTGACTTGCATCTATCTCATTTTTCACTCCTTTTTTGCAGTACCAACAAAGGCAGCATCTCCTTTGTGATTAACGATGGCTCTTGGCATCATATCACGGTTGTATGGCATGGCAGTTCAAAATCGTGGACGTTATTCTCAGATGGTGTGAACCGAGGAAGACAAACTAAAAACAATTGGAACGAATCCCTTGTGTTAAGCTCGGCTACTCTATTTATCGGAAGGAAGCCGAACAAAGATTCATCCAAGCTATTTTCTGGCAGAATTACTCAGTTTAACATGTGGGACCATGAGTTGGAGGAAGAAAAAATCACAATGTTAGCACGCGGTTGTAAAAGTGAACCGGGGAATATGATCCAGTGGAGCAACCTTAGGAGCAAAGTTGAGGGAGAGCTGAGGATTGTGGAGCCGTCTTCGTGTACGTATTCAGGATCCTATTCGCACCTTGCGCTGTTAACCAGTTTTACTGTGCCCCTTTGCTATTTCTCATAAACAGCCATTTCTACCAGCTACAACTCCAGGATGATCCATTTTTACCCCTAAAAGATATCACATTCAATATTGTTCCCTCGAGAAGCTTCTAACAATAGATAATTTCAACTAATCAGCCATTATCCTTAATCCTTTCATTAAAACTGTTGGTTCCCTTTGACAGTAATCCCTGTATTATATAAGATTTCTCTCCCCTAAAGATTGGAATCCCTTCGGGTGGGCCACCCTGGGATATTCTGTCAAAGTAAGTTGCCTGAGGTTGCTACGATCTTTTTGAAGTAACCGACAAACCTCATCTACATGATTTGTAAACAACTATTCCATTCATAGGAAACATTTTAGTATTTCCCCGAAATTCAAAAACTCTGATAAGCAGGATATTTTTGTTTTTCGCCTTTTTCCCGTAATGGCATTGACATACATACTCCCAAGTACTGTTGTACATATACTTTCATACTAAGTAATGGTATTTCATTGATCCTTTAATGAAACTCTTTCTCCCTCGAAGGGGTAGAGTAAGAATTTGATTCCAAAAATTCAGGAAACCTCCAAGCTTAGGGGAAAAAGATGAAATTAGCGTAACAGTAAACGGCCTTTCCCCATAAATCCATATGGCGCAATGTTCACGCCTTTGTAGGCCAGCAAAAGTCGGACAGCTGTAGGGTTAAGGCACATATCAATCTCCGTGTACAGGTTCGTCCTCGAACTACAGAACGGACACCAAAGCGTTCATCTTCTTATTAAACTACACATCTGATAGGACCCTCTTCAAAAAAAAAGTAAGCGAAGAATCATCGGCCTTTGCAATCTACAGCTCACCGTTCACTGGTCCAACCTTCGGAGAGTCTCCGTTTGATTTTCAGATAGGAATCGATGGCGACATGAAGCAAGGGACGAGTCAACACGCTGTTTCTTACAAAGGAGATGGAAACTTTAAGGGATCCAAACTGGAAACTCTGCTTGCTGGGGCGTCAAATTTTAATGTTGACGATGTGGAGGTGTTATTTAGAGCTCAGGGAGGTAGGATTTCTGATGGATTTTGATTCCGTCTTTTAAACTGCTAATGATTGATCATGACATAATTACATAGGGAGCACATGCATAATAGTTCTTCACTGGTGCCGACATGTACTCTGAGAGCAGACTGAGATTAATGATTTTGTCAGTCTGTTCTATAATGCCCCGATTTAAAAATTTTAGGCTTGGTTTTTCTCCATGGGTTCAAGCTAACAACATGTTTTCTTGAGCTACCCACATTTTAAACTGTCCTTCAACATTGCATTGCTTTTTCGTCCAATAAAAGGGAAATATTTTTCTTATTAAGTCAGACGTGTAAATCAAGTGAGGCCAGGTATGCTACGATAATTTAGTTTACCGAGTCTTCGCCGATCTACGTCATCATCAGGGAATATAGATGGAAGTGAAGAGTATAATGTGCGTGTTATATTGAGGTGTTAGGCTAAATAATAGGGGCTCAGCAGACAACAGGACAGGACAATGGCAGGTGCCGGTGTGTGGAAAGAATAGATAATGGTAAGATTTTAACTAGTTCGTCAAGATAAGAGAAATATTACCTCTTTGGTCATGAACGCGAGATAGCGTAAACGAGGTTGTAATTTCTAGTAATTTATTATTCATGTAGTTTTTCATCATTTTTCTTAAAGTGTCCCTGTGCTCTGATCATTGTCCATTTTACCATTATTGTGACGAAATAACAGGCATTTGTCAATGTACAAACAAGGATCCTGAATTATGTCAACTCGGTAAGTAAGTGAGAGAAAGTGAGTGGAATCAGAAATATTTATCGTATTCACAGTTTTACTCGTCAGTACTTTTTGGTTTTTGTTGTTTTGGTTTTTTGGCTTTTCAATATGTTGTCGAGGCGAGAAAGGTTTGTTTACATGCATATAACAGAACTGAGATTAGTGAAGATGACAGTGATTATTACGGTTATGAACACTACCTATCAAAAAAGGATCCAGTCTTACATTGCGTTGCCACTGTTGTCATTTGGAAACTTTTAATCATGCATTATGCCTCTCTTTGTATGGGAGTTTGGATTTTGTTTACAAATTCTTGGATAAACGATTTTTCATCCTAAGTTGATCATTAATGATAGCGCAAGCAAAAACCATATACCCTGCATCTGAAAATAAGCTTCGAGCTAATATTTCGAAGGTTCAACGTCACGTGGAGTGTTATTACCATCATCTTTATCGTTTCTATGCATCGTTACTGAAATTTGTATTCAATTTATCTTGTCGTTTCAGTAAAGTTTTACGAGAATTCTTCCCATCTGTGGTTGCTTGAATCAGTGGAAGATATCAAAGATCTCCGCGAACCTGGCTGGGGGCAAATTAAGGGAGGAGTTAGTTTTTCTGGCGATGGCTTGGTGACAGATGGAGTCAACGGTGAGGTACTACTGAACCATGAGGGGGACACTTGCGCAACAAAGTCTGCTTATGCCAATTGTGATGATCCTGGTTTCACCGTATCGTTGTCATTAAAGCCTTGGTACAAAACCGACGGAGCGCGACAGACTTTTTTCAAATCCCGCGGCAAGTTCGTTGTTTATCAGGAAAGAGGGAAGAAATCCTTGATTATCCGTGTGCAGGGTAGTGCTCAGTATTGTCTGAAAGAAATAGCGATGCCTGAAAAAATCTGGTCTCATTTGGCTTTCACGTACAAACCATCTGGGCCAAAAACACTTACAATTTATAGGAACGGGAAAAGAATCGATGAATTTGTCAGAGATGAAGGTTGTGAAATGGACGGGAAGCCAGAGTTTTCTTCGTCTAATATGTCATTGGGCTCTGAAGGAGGAGTGTTCGCCAAGGCTCATTATTTTCTCATTGCCATTTGGAGACAGGTTTTGTCTGAAGAAAGAATAGCACAGATTTATCGCCGCATCCAAGGTGAGAGGATCTCTTTCTACCCCAATAAATACTCTATTTTATTTTTGATATTTCTTTATAATTTGTTTCTTTTTTTTATCTTGGTGCTCTCGAAGAATGCTGATTTTTTGTTTCGAAATAATATGAAATACTATGAATATTAATGGTCACAAGTGCTTGTCATGCGAGTAATCTGATAATAATTTTTTACCTGAAAGCACCTGTGAGCAGCAGTGGTAGCCGTGATCGTATAGTGGTTAGTACATTGCGTTGTGGCCGCAATAACCCAGGTTCGAATCCTGGTCATGGCACTTCTTGTTTTTATATATAATACGATTATTATTTTCTGGTCTTTGTTTTCTATTCCTTTTTTTTTTTTTTATATATATTTCCAACTGCAGTTATGTCTTCTTTGGTTTTGATTTGTGATGTCATGTTTCTTAGTTCTGTTTTCGGTTTTTTCCATCTTTCTTCCCTGTACAGCTTTTAATTTTCGCTTGTGACATTGCATCGAAAACGAGAAAACCATGAAAAAACTAAAAGTTTATTTCACTCTTCTCTTCCCAATTTCATTTTGATTTATGTAAATTTTTGTGCAGAAAAAAAAATTAAGTAGCATAACAAGGAAACAGTGCTTTTTTTATCTTTGACTCCCTTTTTCTTCGCCCTGTGATACTTCCTTCTTTTACCTGCATTATGGCTTTGGTGAACTAGAGTCCTTTCATAATGAATCCTTTAATCACAGGACTATTTCGAATAAAAGAAAATCAATAATATTCTGAATAAAAAAAATTTAAAAAAAGGAAGAAATAACATAACAATCATATGCTATCTAAATCATTACTTTGTATGGATCCATAGAGGAAACATACTTTTTAAGCTTTTAAATTTGTGGAATGAGGCAGTTGGGACGAAAATTTGCCACCTCTATTCTGTCAGCTCGAAGTTTTCATTTTAGTAAACCAAAACATGGAAATAAATTCTTCCCTGTCTAGCCAATGCCCATTATTAGATTCCTAACCCAAATTTCACTGCAGATTTGGTTCCGCTACGTTGCCGAGTTGTGGCTCGAATAAAAAATCAGCCTTGGAATGAAGATCTTACCTCACCAGAAACGGATCCATACAGATCAATGAAGAATTACATAATAAGCAATGTGAGTTGAACTAAAAACCGCCCCATTCTAAATTAAAGAGCCTCGTACCTCGTGAAAGTGTTGTTACTTAGCAACAATTTGTATGGTTATCTACTCGCGTTTATCAAAAGAATTTAAAGCTAATGCCATCTTGCACATGCCGCTTAGAAAACATTACGTTATGCATAAAAGTGCAACGCAGAAGCTTTCATTTGAATCGTCACACAATGCACGGTTTTCCTTTAATTCTAGTTAATTCCCTATTTTATTTGTTCATAGGTCACCAGGTTTTATGAGGGAGTCCGGGTTTCTGTTAACGTAAACGAATTTAGGTTCGTATGGCTTCTCTACACACACGTGTGCATGCTATTTACTTATTTGAATAGGTACAACTTTAAATTTTGGTTAGTAGAAGGAGGCTGCCGGCTAGGATAGGGTAAACAGGATTAATTCTGTACTCGAGCCAAGTGGCCCTCCAGGTTTC